ACCAAAGCACGAAAAAACTTAATTTCTTTGAATCTTTTGTTGGGATCCGAAAAATTATCAATTCTCCATCAGGAGACGCGTCGAATCATATGTTTGATTGGTGCACGGGAAGTGACGGATCCTACATAAGCACACTCGGAGTTGCTCAAATACTGTGTAGATACTACAACAGAATTTATACACTTTTGCGTTATCAGGGCCCAACAATGAGAGTTGTGCCAAAAATTCGCCGTTTTCCGGCGAACGATTATATAACTTTCTCTTTTTAAGAAGCAGATGCGAGGTGAAAAGGAGTCTTATTATGAAGTGAAACTGAGTCTTATTATGAAGTGATCTTGGACTCTTTGGAAACTCACTTTTTTAATTGGTTCTATTGCTTCTATTGCTTCAATAAGTGTGCAGTTCTTTCAAATGAGTCATATTTGATAATACACATATCACAATATGATAAAAATAATTAATTAGTCAGGTTTCATTGTATGTTTCGAAACGAACTTCTTGACAAACATTTTATTTATATTGTGAATGTAGTTGATTTTAATCCTACAGTACTGAAACGCGTCAACTGCGCTTCAACTGCTACGGTAGACATTTAGTTCCGTGACGAGCATGTTACATCCCGCGAGTAGCGGTGTTGTTCTTTCGTGAGATCTGGCGCTAACCTACATGTCACCTTGCGGGGATTCATCCTTCCAAACAGCCCTTCCGCCAGCAGCAGCGTTGCACCTGCGACAGCCTGCAACACAAGCTTCCGACAACCCTGCCTCGTACCCTGACAAGTGTGATAGGGCAGTGCAAGTAGGTGTGTGTGAGAGAAGAGGAAAGGAAAAATTCGAGGAAGGGAAAATCGCGCATGATCCATGGCCGTTAGTTAACGTACTGATCCAGCATTCACCTAGTATTGATAAGAGAAACCGCGGAATCTACGCTCAGAGCAAACGGTCACTAGAATACTGTTCAAGCGAGCCACTGGATTGGTCCCAGCTCTGAGGCTAGCGTTGAGAATCTGCCGTCGTCGGGGCTTCAACCCTCCTCTCGTTCAGAGATACTGTAAAGAAATTGACGTTGCTCTCAACGAGTAATAGTAAATTGATACGAATCAAGGTTATTCAAGTTTCAACCTGAAATAAATCTGCAAAGAAAAATCTGGATATTCCGTAAAGAGACTGCACCAGGAATGTTAAGAAATACCGATGTATTGGAAAGAAAGTAGCGTGTTTATTTTTTCTGCTAATGTTGAGAACGTAACTTTAAAACTGGATGACCAAATGACAACACATTGGTACGAAACAACCTCTGTAAATATCTTACAATTCGTAAGAGGATAAAAGTTTTGACGGTCCGCTTCCTCATAACAACGCTTCAGATCATTATGCTCAACTAACTAGAGCGGTTTTGATAGAGAACCATGTCCAATGTTCGAAGCATTTCACTTCACAATTTATACCTAACAACCAGCGAGTTATTTTTGTTTCCAATTGCTAAAGAATCTGGGAAGCCGTTTTGCGAGCTCAGAACATAAGGTTGAAGTCTACCCGGAATTTCTAGTAGAGGTGCGGAAAGAGCAATCGAACAGTCTTCAAGAAATTGTGTACAAGCATTATCCTGTGCATAACCCGAGAGGGGAATGTATTTTAAAACATATTTTCGGAAGAATTAGGAATGATCCTTGTAATGTCCCAAAATTTACTCATAAACACGGTAAGTCATTTTATGCAGTAAAAACACATTACAGTGTCCTGTGTTAGTTGAACAAATGCGTCTTACGTCATTTTGCTGAGAAGCTCTTTGTTACTGCTCAGCAACCTACTGATTTATCAACTTCTATATTGTCCAGAAGGGTTTGCTTACAATGAAGCGAAGCGCTGATAATATTTGTAAGAATTGACACTGAAAATGTAATTTTTCGGATACCAGTTGAGTTGCATTTTACGACAGCGAAGCTTTCAATTGCGCCAGACATTAGGCTACCAGAATTGCAGGGCAGTTGCTATTTGTAAATGATATTTACGACCTCCCGAGTCTAAATTAGCGCTTCGAATCCTGGAAATGCACCCTAAGTTCCGTTGAAATACAGACTGCGACACAATTGCAACACAGCAAAAAGCTACTTTCTACAGAAATATATGCTTTGGATGCTAAAAACGGCAAGGGAAACATTTATTTTATTAATATTATAAGAAAAATACTGACGTGTTTTATCCGCACGAACTGACTCTCTCAATATGTGTCACGTAATTATGTAAATATAAGTAAATATTCCCATATATTATTTTTGAACCTTAATTTTGGTTATTTTTTCAACAAATCTGTGCGATCAATGTTGTAATGTTCAACGCCTGTTCGGCAATACGGCAACGCTTCTCCCACGTGAGTCGAAGAGCTTACTTAAAAAATATTGCAAGCTGTGGAGTTGGACCGCGGACGAGGATCACGGGCCAAGTTGTCTTTGAACAACAGTCGAGTGTGACGATTGCGTTGATGGTTCCAGAATTTTCTATGAAAAGAAGTACGGAAAAGCACGTGACGATATATTACGAAGAATCTTCACATCCGTAAACCTAACAGAAATTTGTAATTTTGTGACGGGTTGCAGAATTTTGATTTTATTAAATGAAATTATAATTTTATCTTTCTAAATAAAAATAATGAAGAATCTAATAAAGAATATAGAATGTTTGGCCTTAGCAGTTTTTCAGTAATTTTCCTTAATTTTTAATGAACGTCTTAGGCTAATAAGACTATTTTAGGCAATATAAAAGAAAAAAGTGATAAAAGAAAAACAACAAAATAATCTATTGTAAGCCATACGCAAATTCAATTTAACTTCTATTACTTTTTGTTGTAGAAAATTTATGTTTATCTTTGGAAAAATTAATTTCAATGATTATCTGCACATTTTAAATCCATTTGAATTTGTGTCTGTATTCTGGAATTTGAAGGACTGAAAGTTAGGTACCACTGAATTATGGGGCTTTTAAAGACTTTCATTGCAAAATAAGACAGAACATATGCTTAATAATTTTATCATAGGATGCTCATTTTTCAAATTTAATTTATTTCTCAATAGTTTTTTTCGACCTAGTAATAAGTTATTATAAAAAGATAAACAAGAGATATATTCACTGCGATCCACTGCCAGAAAATGTCATGCCTAATGAATGCTGTGAAGAGAAATTCCTTTCGGACGGTAGGTATAATGAAATTCTACCAAGCGTCTCTAAGGAGATACATCAAAAATATTACTTTAATATTTTAGACAATTAATTTAAGGAACTGTTGCGATAGAATTATGATATATTTCGCCAAACTTTTAATCAAAAGGGCGCGAAATTTCACGGCACAATTAAATAAAAATCTTAAAAATCACATAATATTTTTTCATCTACATGTAATGAGATGCACTATTACAAAACAATATTACATTATTGTATGCATTTTGTATTTTCAAAATATATTTTTTATCTTATGTCTCTCAATTAAATATATATGTTCCAATTAAATTCCAAAGTTAAAGTCAGTTGATGTCTAATCTTATGCCCCTCAATTAAATATATATGTTTAAATTAAATTCCAAAGTTAAAGTCACTTGGCGTCTAGACACTTGGTGTTAAAAACACTTGGCGCCACAGATGAAGAATGTGACTTTTAATATATTTTCCACATCAGGGATAGTTAAATAAACGCCCATTATTTTCCCTCTGAAGGCAGGACAAATATCAGAGAGGGACTGCTCCGCCAAGCTGTAGACCGTGAAGTGGCTAAAAGGGGACCCGACTCGGGCAATGCATTGTTGTTTCAGTCGTAGTCGTTCGTTCCGAGCAGTGGAGCCTGGGAGAAAGCTCGTTCGTTAAACTGCACGATTCTGAACCATTGTCGAAGTCCGAAGAGAGAAATAAGCGTGGCATTGTTTGTCGCTGTAGATTTACTAACACCTTTACATCTAGTTTTTAAACGCACTATCAGTGCGCTTCGAGTAAGAATAACACTTTAATACCTATAGGCAAATAAAATGAATTTATTTAAATATATATAAATCATGAATACCTGACTGCTAGTTGGACTGCTGCTGTTTCACCAACCAGTGGCCAGAGGCAGCTATTCTCACGGCTGAATTTGTCGCGATTGTAGGGCTCTCTTGGTGGAGGGCCCAAGTGACGAGGTGCGTTGATTTTTTATCGAGCTCATATAATTTATTTCTTAATCATGAATCTGCAATGAATTGACATTGTCATTATTATTATCATTATCATTGCTATACTTATTATTGTTATTATTAATATTAATGGTGAAAATAATGACGATAATGGTGAAATAAATCATGCAATGCTCGATGCAATTAAAGATTGTGAAGGTGAGTTAAATAAATTTAAAAATTTCAGCTGAAATTGAGCTATGTTTTCCAAATTTAGAAACTTGAGTGCCAGGGATTCCAGTCTGTTCCAAATATTGGGTGAAAACCGAGAAGACCTTGATGTTCGGCACAACCTAGTGTACTGGTATCAACTTAAACATAGCTCCCAGATACAATTAATAGTAAGCGTAGAATCAATCTGATGCGAGCTGAATATAGCAGGAAAACATTGAATAATCACTTTGAGAAAAAATGTATGTTATGTTACTCTAGTTACACATTACACCTAGATTATTGTAAGTAGCAAGCTGCCAGATTATCTAGGGAGGATCATCGAGTATTGAAGAGAATTGATGAGGAATATGGAGATCCTGCAGGAATACGGATTAATGATTAAGCAACTAACAGGGTTACATACATGAACAAATACTTTTTTCCTAATCTTGTACTTTAGTTCGACTTTAGAAGTCATCCCTTCGGCCCTTTTTAATTAGAAGCATTTTATACCGAGTTTGCCCAGTCTCTATTTTAAGCTTGATAATGAATTCATCTGGGTTAATAATAGAAGACAAATAAAGCAAACCCTCCGGCGCACTAGCGAAAAGGCCAGAAACCTGCCTCTTCCGCAGTGTAGTGGGAGTCAAAGATGCCGGAAGAATTGAAGAGCGCCTCTGGAAAGCTCTCCAGGCAGGAGCACGGGCAAAGAGCGTGGGCCAGGTTCGCTTTTGGGGGACGGCCGAGCGTGACGCCACTGCGTTCCAGGCGCGTGCACCGGGGCGTGCGGGGGAGGAGAGCGTGCGAGACGGAGGCGCTGCGACGGCGGTGCGAGCGGCGCGGGGCGGCGGATACGCACTGTAGCCCTCTCGCTCGCGGCCGCATAGCCATGCGCCAAACGGCGGTGCCCCCCTGGCGCCGGGGGGCGGGGGCGGGGGTCTCTTTCTCCCCCTCCTGGAGCCCGCGGCGCGGCGCGCGCCGGGCCAGTAGCGCGGCTCCAGCGGCGCCGTCGCCATGGCAACGGCTCAGACGCCGCGGCGCGCGGCGGGCCGGCCGCGAGCGCGCGCTGCCCCGATGCGGCAGAGCCGGCCGGCCTGACCTCGTGACACGACCGCCCCTCAGGCCGCCCGCCCGCGTCCGCCGCCCGCGAACGCACCCGCGCCCTCGCGGGAGGCCCTCGCGATGTGAACGGCGTCGCCGTCGCGACGGAGCCGGCGGCCGCCACGACGGCGGCGTGGACGAGGACCGCTGCGGAGGCCACGGCGTCCACGCACACGCAGGACCCTCCTCGGCGACGAGGACGGCGGCGGCGGGGTCGCCGAGGATAGCGGAGGAACCGGCCCTGGCGTGAGTAGTCCTAGTTGGCCAGCCCGCGGGTTGGCAGGGGTTCGCGGCGCAGAAAAAGTTTGCGAGAGCGGAAACTTTTTTAATGGAGTCGGTGGGTTGCGTGATGTTTGATTCTAGTTGGGAATAAATGTTTTATCCACACCTGTTTTCTATTTTCATTACAGTGTTTTCTATTTTGAACAGGTAACGCGCGTGCGGCACGGCTCGTTGCGTGACATTCACGCGAAAGTGCGACAGGTATTAGTTTTAGGGAATTTACTATCAATATTCTTCAGAAAGATATCCAGGATCTTGAATGACGCGCCGTATTTTTTTTCATTTAATAACGACAACCTATTTTTTTTATCGTCGGATGAAAATTTGTGAAACAGGGGTAATGCAATCGTGAAAGTTAAAGTGACCAAAAACTTTGTTCTGTATAAAATGAAACGTTTCTGAAAATTTCAGAATTACTGTCATAAAAATAGCACATATGAGCACAATTCAAAACTTCTTTCATATATTTTCACAGAAACTCGTTATCTAGACTGTGTGGGTGTAGGAGAGAAAGAATGATTAGGGAACAATTTGTAATTTTGAGTATGATTATTCAAATAGCAGATATCATTAAACGACAATAAAACACATTATGGTTAGGAAGAAAAACGGCGATGTACCAAGTTTGAATGTAGCGATGAATAAGCAAGCAGGCTACCAAACAAAAATTACCAACAATCACAAACGCGTGAGTGATCATTACAAGCTCTTAGCGATTAGTGACAAAGTTAAATGACATGGAGCAATGCCGCGTACGTAACATTACGAAATCGATCGTCTCCAAAATCTGTGCGAACGGCGATAGGGAGGAAAACCGACGGCGGAGAGCTTCTGCGATTACAGCGATGATAGATCGAACAAATCGAAAGCAGCCTTCGCAATGAAGGCAATGAATGATTCCGAGAACTGATCGTGAAGAGCTTCAAAGCCGACAGCACTGATCGGGAAAGCCGATTATGGTGAGCATCGAAGCTGACACGCGGAAGACGTATGTGATGTCTGCGATCGGCCACCGATCACGTCCAGCAGTGAGAAAAAAACGTAAATGGCTCGAAGATGCTCCTAAAACGAGTGTTTTTATAAACCGTTTGGTATACATTGCTGCGATATTGAGAACCGATTACAGATTTTAAAAAAGTCAATTAAATGTAATGCGTGGAGTTGCCACTTTAAAAATACAAACGCTGCAACTTTAAAAATGCAAAGCCGTTACGAGGATCATTCAACTTTGAACAAAATATTACACAACTATTTGTCGTTTTGTCATTATGTGAATTAAATTAATGAATAATTTATTTCGTTTGATTAAACAGATTCTGAAATGTTCAAGTCACTATGATAGAAATCTGATTACCGGCAATGAATACGTTGTCACTCATAGTCTTCTGGATATTTATTCACTGTTTTAATAACTTTACTAATAATATCGTGTAGAATAGCAAGAAAATAAAGTGCAAAATCATTTAGCTTATACTTAATTATTGATTTTAAAGTTAAATGATATTCGTTTATATGAAATATATATATGTTAAAGATAAATTATATTCGTTTATATGTTTTATATATAATGAATTATTATCATGATTTCGTATATATTGTAATTATGACATGATTTTGATGTATGTTCATGTATACATTCTGTTTAATATGGCAACTAAGAAATAAGCTCCAGTAGGGCTAATGCACATGAATATTCAGTCTGATTAGGTTTTTCACTGAGAGAAACAATCTGATTATTGATGGTGCACGGATGTAATAACATAATATTTACGAGTGTCTACAACAATTACAATGCCATTGTAGTATTTTTAGAAAAGTTCAGAAATATTGAGAAAAGTCTTCGAAGCCAATGCTTCATCACAGTGGTAAACGAATAGATATCTGTTCTTACCTCTCGCCATTAGAAATAGAGTATTCATTGCCAAGTTGGTTGATTGATCGTGCAGAGCCAGGACGCTGAATTGTCAAAATTCCAGTTATTAGCTTCGCGCAATTAATGGCTTCCACCGCGGGGCTCGATGCTCCGGTGACCGACTTCCGCCAATTGCTGAACGGCACGAGTGAAAAGAGCAATCTGATAATCGATGAAATAAAGTTAATTTAAAACCATGTTTAGGAGTGAGTCACAATTTAAATACCATTGTATTTGTTTTAAAAGAGTGGGGAACATCAGAAAGTGTGAGAACCATTGAATACAATCCTTTATCACAAAAAGAAATGGAAAGAGATACTTTCTTAGTCGATCATCAAAAATATAAACTCCTATATCAGAGGTAGTTGGTTGATTATTTAGTGTGGGTAAGTTAATCTGTCAGACTTTTAACTAGCAGCTTTGTCTGCTTAATGATTTCCATTGTGGCGCCCAATGAGAGATGCGCCTCATGTCGATAGCAAAACAGCCGTTCACTGCTGATACGACTCCTTGTCTCATATAGGCTGTTTTGAGGGATGGGATGGTCAATTATATTTTAAGAAATGTGTAATAATGGTAAATGAAGAATTTAGTTCTTCAGGTGATTTTTTGTCGTGTTTTGTGAATATGTAAGCCACATAGAGGTGAGAAAAACAATTTCAGATTGTTGAGGAGTCTGCCATGATTTCATCGAGTTGGGTGATGACAATGGTTTAAGACAAGTATTGTGATATTGTATTCATAACTAGTAAAATTTAATACTAACTAGAGAACTATGTGAATTAGATGCCAAGATTAACTACTTATTGTTTAAGTTCAGATTTGGAGAACGCAGATAAAAATAATACGTTGGAGACTAAGTTCGAGTTGTGTGCATTAGAAACTCACCCCCTAAAGAACTATGAGGAAATAAAGTATGTTTATTGTATTAAATAACTGGGTCAATTAATTTATTAAAGAAAGAAGATGTTTAGTATTCCTTCTAGGTGATGTGAGCTATCTAAAAAAATTGTTTTTGGTGGTAGTAGAACTTCAAACTTCTGAAACGTGTTGGAATGACTAATTAATTATTTCTTGTGTCTGGGCGCATAAACTGCGAAAGTAACGAGTTTCGTGGTGTAGGGCATATTTTCATCACTATAGTTGGTTATTGTTCTTTCTCAGCTGGAAGATGAGATCTGGCGCCGACCTACACGTCGACTTGCGGGGGTTTTCCTATCCAGACATCTCCCTGAGCGGAACACAACTGCCAGCACAAGCTCGAAGCTCCTGATATGTTTTAAAGTGTATTACATGAAAGGGTAAGCGTGTGTTGGTAAGGTTTGGGAACGATAGTACAAGATAGTGTAAGAATTGCTCACAGTCCGTGTACCGATCATTAGAATTGTGCACCAGATTTCGTCTGGTATTGATCGAAGAAATCAGGAAAACTCCCGATCGGAGTAGTCGTCTGCTAGGATTCTTCCCCATACAGCAGCTGAACTTGTCCCAGCTATCTCGCTAGTTTGAAAAATTCTGCCACGTCGGGATTCAAATCCTAAGACCTACCGGTGAAAGTCACTCCAGTGATATCTGTTGACGCCCTACGCCAGCTCAGTCGGTGAACATGTAGGATAGCACAGACTTTGCATAGAATCGAGACGCTCAGGATAATAAGGGCAGATCCCAACCGACCTCGCATCTTCAGTTAGAAGCATAACGGCAAACCCCTACGATATATCGATCATATTCTGACATATCAAATTAAGTGTAATATGGCAAAGCCTTCAAATTCCACCTTCAGGTGAAGGTAACCGTAAACGAAAACGAGAAAGTCATATTTGAGTAAACGAACTTCGGTTGGGATCTGCCGTTTATGTTGTGAGCGCCTCAATTAAGTTGTGAGAGACGTCCCAACCGCACCGCGTCCCTCTGCGCGCGGGGGCCGGAGGCAGCGGGGGGCGGCGGTGCAAACGGAGCGCGCGTGTTTCCGG